AGGAGGCCTCTCACCAGACACGAATCTGCTAGTTGGTGTCCTGATCTTGGATTTATATAAGTTTCATGTGTATGACATCATATTTCTATTTCTGTGTACCCTACAGCATGCTCCCCACCAAAAATTTAGTTTCTATCCATCACTATACAGTTGATTCCCTTTACCCATTTTGACTTCCTTCTGCTTCTTCCCCTCTGATAATCACTACTCTGTTCTCTACATGTTTGTTTTTGTTTGGTTTGTTCATTTATTTTGTTTGTTTGTTATATTCCACATATGAGGGAAATAATACAGTATTTGTCTCTCTGTCTGACGTATTTCACTTAGCATAATACCCTCAAGGTCCATTCATGTTGTCACAAATGGCAAGATGTCATCTTCTTTTATGGCTGAGTAGTATTTCACTGTATATATACCACATCTTTATCCATTCACCTGCTGATGGACACTTAGGTTGTTTCCATATCTTAGCTATTGTAAATGGCATTTCATTTTTTAAAGCTTATGTCTGATACATTATTTTACACTATGAATCGGTACTACAATGTTTCTAAAAATGTGTGTGTATGTGGAATTTTTGCATTACCAAATAGCGAAATCCACCAGAGAAATTTCTCCTTTTAAAAAGGGGTCTTATTAAAAGTATTTTTAAATGAATAATCTCACTTAAGTAATTTCATATATGTCCTTTGTTTTCATGTTTGGTTTCCTAAAGAGATACATTTCAATATATGAGGAAAGCTTTCACAAATAAGTGTACATTGCACTTGGATCTAATGATCACACATTTGGAATTTGCGGTTAATCGTGTTTCCCTACGAGTCATAGGCTCCTTTACACAGAAAATGTTTTTACCAGCTATGCAATGATAAAAGACAACCACTAGTAGGCGCCGCGAGCCCACTCCTTTGGCCCAAGCTTTGCTTTCAATGTGGGCTTTCGATGCTTGTCAACAAATACATTTGCCAGTACGATATGCATTTGTACTCTAACTGAATCACACTTAGTTTGATTAACTACTTTTAGGTATAAATGGTAGAAGAACCGTTAACCAGGCTGCTTCCTTTGTTCAGTACACATCTGGGGTTTAGGGCAGTGACCATCTCTCTAATGCTCCCCTTTAAATATCTTCGAATAAGTTGAGGAACTTATGCTCAGACCATAGGAAAGACTCTTACATTTCTCATAATGGAAAGAATATTGGACTTAGGGTCAGAAGACCTGGAATCAGATTTCAGCTATGCCTTACCAGTTCTGTTACATACTATAGAAATGTGAAGAGATGGCATGGCAAAATTTTCTGGGAGAAAATTAACTGGAAAAACCTCCATCTGGGAGGTCTGGGGATCTCACTTACCTGGGGTGACTGGACCCTGAGAGACTGCTTCTCACAGCTAAAAGGGTACCTGGGGCTGTGGTAGACCTGGAATGTCAGTTTATTAAGTTATGCTATGTAGGAAGGCAGATTCTAATGAAGAGGAGGGCTTGGGGAGTAGAGTCACAGCCAAAGAATGCAGATGATTTTAGGAAAAGTACCTTGGCCAAGATAGCTTGAGGGACTTCCCCACTTTACAGAGAGCCTTGCCAAAGGGACCGCATCCTCGGATTCTGTGGCCACCATGCCATTTCCATCTCCTGTGGATAGTGGAGGATTCTCATGGCCTCTCTCTGCCTCTTGGTTCCCAGGTCTCTATTCTTCCATGGCTGCCCAACTTTCTTTTCAAGGGACACACTCTCTCTTTATTTATGGCTAATTCGTTCAAATAGGTTATATTTTGCTGGCCTCCCTTGAGTGGCCTTTTGTACGTCTGTGCTGTGATCATTTAAACATTCATTTTAGGATTTTTTCTCCCATCAATAGACAACAATAGCAATAACCTAATTATTTTAGTTTTAGTCTTTATCAAAGGCAACTCATATTTCCAATCGATCAATATTGCCTGTGAATAATACTAAAAGTAGCTAACATTTATGAGTGCCCATCAGTGCCGGGCACTGTGCTATGTACTTTGTAAAAGTTATCTCACTTAATCCTCGCAATAACTGTATCGGGGCATCTGCTAGTCTCACTTTATAGATGAAAAACCTGAGAGTTGCATAGGATAAGGGACAGCTCAAGTAATCAAGTTGGAATATGAACTCAGGAAGTTCCATTCCAAGACCTTAACTTCACAACTCCGTCTACCAGTTAGAGCCTGAGTTCTGAAATCTGCCTTTACAGGTGTCTCTGGGTGTCTGTGAGAACTTTGGGTGATCTGGGCATTGTTGAATTATGATTGGTTGAATTTTTATTGTTAGAATGTCAAATGCTCATGGAGTCGCAAGAGTGCAGATTGTATAACTTCTTTTTTAATGAATTGATGTTGCTTGGGTTTTATGTTTTACTTATTACAAAAGCTCTTTTTTATGTTATAAGGAAATATCTGAAAACATCCAGGTCAATAGACCCTGGTAACGAAATGCCCCAAACACAATGACTCACTCAAAAAAGGGACATATTCCTATAATATAGTATTTCCTACAAATCAAACTTGTATGATTTCAAGGAGAACACATAAGAGTGCAAAATCAAGGGTTCTGAATTATATATAAATATATGTGTATGTATGTATATATATATATATAAATCATATTATATATATCATATATAATAGCAGCCCAGCTTCCCTGAGGCCTTACTTTGTACCAGACATTGTTTAAAGCTCTGTATGTATATTAACTCACATAATAATCAAGAAACCTATGAGTTAGGCACTATTTTAACCCTCATTTTACAAATGAGAAAACTGAGGCCCAGAGAAGTGAGGTAACTTGAATCCACAGCTAGGAAATGGTGGCAACAGGATTTGAGGCCAGGCAGCCTGCATTCTTACTCACTGTGCTCTCCTGGGTGATTATTGCAGCTTTTTACTTGACACTCTCTCATCTCTTACAGAACCTTTTCTGTCTATGCAGTTGATTCCTTTGGGGTCTCCTTGAGGCAAGTCTTCTCTAGAAGACATGGTGATTTGCCCAGCAGAGATATGGGAAAGCTTAGTACCTGTGACTTATGATCTATATCTTAGAGTGTTGAGTAGGAAGTTTTGTGCTTGCTGAAATCCTTCTCATCTTTAAATCTCATGATTGTTGATAGAGGAATATAATAAGCCAAATGTATCAAAGGGAGTTAAAACTGTTTAATGTAAATATAGCCCAAGGACAACTTCTCTACATGATAGAAAAGTACATATAATAGGTCTTACTTGAATGCATGGAGAGAAGGTGGCTTGATGATGTTGATGATGGTGATGGTGATGATGATGATGACAGCTTACACTTGCAGAGCACTCACTCTAGGCTAGGCAGTGTTCTCAGTGGAGTGCAGATACTAACTTATCTACAGTGAGCAGGAGCTGTCAGCCTAGCTTTTAATGTCAAAAATGAGACACGAGGGCTTCCCTGGTGGCGCAGTGGTTGAGAGTCCGCCTGCCGATGCAGGGGACATGGGTTCGTGTCCCGGTCCGGGAAGATTCCACATGCTGTGGAGCGACTGGGCCCATAAGCCATGGCCGCTGAGCCTGTGCGTCCGGAGCCTGTTCTCCGCAACGGGAGAGGCCACAACAGTGAGAGGCCTGCGTACCGCAAAAAAAAAAAAAAAAAAAAAAAGAGACACGAGCCCTTTAGGAATTTTCGGAAAGTGACAATCAGGACAGGTTCCCAGGAATGGTTAGTGAGGTGGGATGCAGGCTACCCCTTCCTTGTTATGTGAACTTGGACAACTCTCTCATGCTGTTTCTTTGTGAGTATTATGTGTAAACAATCATTCCTGCCATAAAGGGTTGCTAAGAGAATTAAATGAGATAATTTATAAAATATAAACTCATGCACATGGTACATGACAGCTGCATAAATGTGAGTTGTTATTGTTGTTGTTATCATTACTCTGGCCATGGCCACCTCTGATGATTTTTGACCACTGGCAAAGGACCATTTTCTTTCTACCACTAACTATGGTATGCTGAATGCTTCAAGTCTGTTTCTTAGGGCATTCTCAGCTCATCAGTTACCATCCTGGGCCGACAATGGAATATTACTCAGCCATAAAAAGAAACGAAATTGAGTTATTTGTAGTGAGGTGGATGGACCTAGAGTCTGTCATACAGAGTGAAGTAAGTCCGAAAGAGAATAACAAATACTGTATGCTAACACATATATATGGAATCTAAAAAAAAAAAAAAAAAGGTACTGATGAACCTAGTGGCAGGGCAGGAATAAAGAATGGACTTGGGGGGGAGGGGGAAGCTGGGGTGAAGTGAGAGTAGCATCGACACACACACACACACACACACACACACACACACAGCTAGTGGGAAGCAGCCGCATAGCACAGGGAGATCAGCTCCGTGCTTTGGGAAACCTAGAGGGGTGGGATAGGGAGGGCGGAGGGAGGCTCAAGAGGGAGGGGATATGGGGATTTATGTATGCGTGTGGCTGATTCACTTTGTTGTACAACAGAAACTAACACAGTACTGTGAAGCAGTTATACTCCAATAAAGATGTATTAAAACACAAAAACAAAAACCAATCCTGGGCTAAGGAGGAACTGTACTGGGCGCTCTAGGGAGTACCACGGTCCTTGCTCTCAGCGGGGAACGAGCAGGAAGAAGCTGAGGAGGGATGGAGCGAGGCGGAGACCCAGAGATAGGATGAGAGAGGGGCAGCAAGAAGAGGAAGAATTCGCAGCAAAATAGAACTCGCGCCTGCTGCGGGCCCTCTTGCCGCTGTCCATTACTTGGACCTGGATCGAATTATTTTCTTTCCAAATTTTTTTATTTCCAACACTAACCGTGCGACGCCCGCCGGCGGGGCGGCGGGATCACCCCCTCCCTAACTCTGCTTCCCTCCACATCCCACTCCTGACCCCGCCCGGCGATTGGCCTGCTGGACCCGGGGCCGTCGCGGATTGGAGCTCGCCGGCCGGGTCTGCGGGGTTTAAAGAGGGGGGCGGGGGCCCGCTGCCCAGCCGCGCTGCAGTCCTCGCCGCGCGCCCGTCGTGCAGCTGGGCTCGCTGCGTCTCGTGGCTTCTCGCCTCCTCCAGCATCCCGCATCTCGCCGTCGCAGGCCAGCGGCTCGCCAGCGCGGGAGAAGGAGGACCGGGGCAGGCGCCGTCGAGCCCGGGCGCGGGCACAGCTAGTGAGGGGCGAGGCGCAGGGACTCCAGGGTGGCCACGATGGTGGCCACATGCCTGCAGGTAGTGGGTTTCGTCACGAGCTTCGTGGGTTGGATCGGCATCATCGTCACCACGTCCACCAATGACTGGGTGGTGACCTGCGGCTACACTATCCCCACCTGCCGCAAGCTGGACGAGCTGGGCTCCAAGGGGCTGTGGGCCGACTGCGTCCTGGCCACGGGGCTGTACCACTGCAAGCCCCTGGTGGACATCCTCATCCTGCCGGGTAAGGACCCTGCCTTGCAAGTGGCTGTCCTAAATAAACCCTTTCCTTCCGGGCAGACGGGGGAGGGGAGCATTAGGCAGCGTTCACAGAATCATTTGGGGGCTTGAAGACTTTGGGCATCTTTTGACACCTTCAGCCCTACTTTGTTGAGGAAGCAATTAGGTAGCCCTGAACTTAACCTCTCTCAGCCTCAGTTTTCTTATCTGGAATTTGGGTTGACAGTGGTGGCCACCGGCCGAGTCACCCTGGGAAGGTAATGAACTGAGACATAGACACATAGTTGGAACTCCCTACGTGTTAATTACCGTAGCCTCACCTGCCGCGTGCTCCCACTGTGGGTGGATAAGAAGTACTCCATCCCCCGGCCGCCTCCTGCAGGCGCCCTGCTTTCCCTGTTAGAATCCACCCGCAGAGGCTGGAGGAGGAAAGAGAGAAACAAAAGCATTCCAGCTATCCGAACAGGCGCAGCCTGAGTTTCCCAGTCCTTGTGGGACGGCCGAGGTGTCCTGGCCAAGTTAGGGCCCTCCTACCTGCGCCCAGTCGGTTCCCACAGGCCCCAGGACCTGTCCCATTTCCCTTACCCCTTGCCCCCGCAGTGGAGGGCGTCGGTCCTCGGACCTGCCGAGATCCCCCTCCCAGTCTCCGCACCCTGGGGTCGGAGAGGGAAGAACGGGCGCCCCTGGGAGGGCCCCCTCACCTTGGGAAAAGGCGCACCTCCGCGGGTCGCCCCCTCCCCTACTGCTGTGCCTCAGAGTGGGGAGGGGAGGGAAGAGTTGCCTAGTTTCCACCTTCCCCGACGCCAGCCGGTGCCGAATCTTAACTTGCTGCCCCGTTGAAAAATTCTGGGCAAGTTTCAATTCAGATTTAAACGTCGAGCCAGTTGGATGATCGACAAGGTCTCCGGAGCCACTTCAGGTTTTCTGCTCGGAATCTTGGCTTATCCTGGCCCAGGCCTAAGCACGACTGTCTTGCTAGCCTTTGAGGATGGTGCGCCTTTAAAGGCCTATCCCGGTTTCCTTAACAAGTGGAGTAACTGGGCGGTCGGCCAGAGTAACTGGCCCCCGAGGCCGCCAGTCTGGGAGACTTTGGCTTTGGCCTTCTCCTGGATGAGCCTTTCGCTCCCGAAGACTGCCCCTCTTTAAGCCTCACCTCAAGTGCTTTCTATTTCCAGGTCCTTGTAGTCGGAATCTATCCGCCCTTCCTCCTTGCCACCCTGGTATTTGACCCCTATCCCCGTCAGTGCACGTTTTGACTTTTCTGTTCATTGTTTGTGAGTCAAGTTCTCCTACCACATTTTAAATTCCTCAAAGATATAGATAGCATCCTACCCTCTTTGCATCTTCCCCTGCACCTGGCACTGCCCCTGACACACAGCAGGTACACACAGTGCGTGCCAGTCCTGCCCTCCATTTTGGACTTTCAGAATGACAGAGGTCTGGGGAACCCAGATGTGAACCCACCTTCAGCTAAAGCTGCCGTTGGTAGACCTGGGTCAGACTCTGGGATGCAGTGCTCACAATCCGAGTGGTTTGGGACATGTTCTTAACCTCTATGAACCCCAGTTGTCTTCTTTTAAAAATTAAAATGAAACCAACCCCCTATCTTTCAGAGTTGTTTGGGGGATTAAATGAGATGAGAAATGTAAGCCTCCTTAGATGTAGTAGAGGCTCCATAAATGGTAGCTATATTTTTTATTAAAAGCCGGGCATGGTATTTTTAAGAATCTGACTTGAAGCATAAAATTACTCTCTGCTTCCTTCCTCCTGAAATTAAGTTTGCTGAGCATTCAGTGACAAGTGGTTTATTTTTAGAGAACATAGACCATCCTACAGATGGAGTACACTTTAGGGAGGGCCTAATCCTTCCTGTGGTCCCCTCCCTCACGCTGTAGGTGGGGACAGGGACAGATCTCAGTCTCCATCTTTAGATTCTCAAATGTGGCCTTGGCACATAGCACGTTCACAGACTGTGCCATGAATTTCAGAATCCAGGTGGCTAGCTGACTCTCCTTTATGCCAGCCCTGGTTCTTTGACCAGTCGCAGTGGCTTAGGGCTGAGGTCAGAGGTCTTGCTTCAGACCTCCTGTGGCTCCTTTCCGGGGGTCTTCAAGTCAACAGATACTTGATTGATTGATTACCCTTAATTTAGAAGAAACTGAGTTGGGCAATTGTTGGGAGTGTGCCCTTGTGGAGTCTGAATTCTGGCAAAACACATCTTGCTAATAGGCAGTCTTGCAGTTGGGTCTTGGTGCACGGGTAGGCTGGCCACATTTGGTGTGAGGGTCCTGGCACATGAGGCAGAAGCTGGGGCTTGTTTTTGGGTTTGCCATTAACTCTGCTTCCCCCAGGTCATTAGCTCTACTTTCCTCTGAGTCAAGAGGGAGAGTTACAACTCCCCCACCCCCATTTTTGAAGGAGGGAGAGTGTTTTAGTGAGAAACAATACATTTAAGTGTGTCATATTCTCCCAGCATCTTGTCAGATTTATTTTACATAAATATTGCACATATTATAATCTGTTTCTTAATAAAGTAGTTACCTAGCATTTTATTTGACAGTATAAAGTTCAGGTAGCTTTGCTCCACTCTTATTACTCAACTCGTTAATTCCTTCATTCATAATTGTATGTTTACATCATCTGTTGTGGGCACTGTGTTAACTCCATGAAGACCAAGGCAGGTGTCTGTCTTCTAGGAATCCCTGGGGCTGGAGAGATGCCTTTATGGAAAATGGACCATTGTGGAAGCATGCCCAGGGCACAGTCGGGGAGGCAGGAGATGGAGCCTGACCATCTATAGGGGACAGGATTCATGAGCAAGCAGTATCTGTGGAGATATCAAAGAGGAAGCCTGAGTCTTAGCTTAGTCTAGTTAGGGCCACATACTGTTTATATACAGTGTGAATTAAAAGCACATGGTTAAGGGACAATATCACCTAGTACACCTGGAGATAAAAGTACTGCCTTGACACAGAGTAATATTAGGAATACCAGTAATAATAGCTGACCCTTTTTGGAGTACTTAGCATGTGCTAGGCACTGTTCTGAGCACTTCATGAATTAACGAATTTAATCTTAGTTGAATTCCATTGGAGAGATGTAGGTACTATTATTATTTTTACTCTGTAGGTGAGGAAAGTGTCAAGACACTTGCCCAAGGTCACACAGGTAGAACATATCAACAGCAGGCTGGGATCAGCACAGACCATCACAGAAGAACTCTTCAAAGATTTGAATTTTAATCCGAATTTTTCACAAGGTGATGTAACAGTGCAATTGTACTCTTGGCCTCTTCATCTCGGAAGCTTGGATGAGTGGTCTAAACCAGGGATCCCCATTCAGTCTCTCCAGCCCCCAACCTTCCTTTTTTCGTCACTGAGTCACGTTAAAAGTTGAACATGCAAAGTGATCTTGGACAACATTTAACATATTATAAGTCCTGGAGTGGGACAAGAGGGAGGAAGGCAGATGGTGCTGAATTCCCGTGAGGCGGGATTGAGGATCCACGGGGACCCATGGCCTAACCCACCCTGTCTGCACTCTTGTTCCCAGGCTATGTGCAGGCTTGCCGAGCCCTGATGATCGCTGCCTCAGTCCTGGGTCTGCCGGCCATTCTCCTGCTGCTGACCGTTCTCCCCTGCATCCGAATGGGCCAGGAGCCTGGCGTGGCCAAGTACAGGCGGGCCCAGCTGGCTGGCGTCATGCTCATTCTGCTGGGTAAGACAGGTTTTTGTAGAGCACCCCAACTCCCAGCGAACCTGAAGAATCTCGGGTCTTGCTGCTGCTTCATCGAGTTCAAGAGACGTGTGCAAGGAAGGCATGTGAATCCACTGGGGGAAAAGCCCCCCACGATGTGTATCCCTTTATGTTTCTTGGGCATTTGATGCAGAGGGATAAGTAACGCCTGTGGGAATCACTGAACATAAAAGTAAGTTAAGGGACTTCCCTGGCTGTCCAGTGGTTAGGGCTCTGCGCGTCCACTGCAGGGGGTTCGATCCCTGGTCCGGGAACTGAGATCCCACAGGCCATTCGGCGCCGCCAAGGAAAAAAAAAGTTAAAAAAAAACAAACAAAAAGGATTTTGATGGTATACCTAAGAGAGAGAACAGAAGGCAGAAGAGAGTTACAGGGCAGCTCTCCACCCAGGCTTCACGATAGAATCCCTTTTTGGAAACACCTGTGTCCAGGTCCCACTGCAGGTCCATTGAGTCAGAAGTTCTGGGCATTAGACCAGGCAAAGATATTTTCTGAAAGCTTCCCATGTGACTCTTGAGTGCAACCAGGATTGAGAACTTCAGTTAACATATAAAGAAAGACCAGAGAAAGAGGAGGGCAAGATAAAAGTAAGATGCTGGGGGTGGTAGATCACTAGGTGATGATTCCATCTTTTATTCAGTAAGCATTCACTGAGCACCTCCTGAGTGCCAGGCACTATGGTAGGCACTGGGGATTTTGGAAAAAAGAAGGTAGTCTCTGCTTTGAGTGTACTTGGACATCTTGATGTACTTGGTATACTTGCTCACCTAAAAAAGGTACACAGGCTGTGCACGCACATAGGAAGGCACCTGATCCAGATTGGAGGAGTTTTCCAGAGCAGAGGACCCTAGGGATGAATTTTGAGAGCTGGATAGAAGGTGATCAGGTCATGGATTGGAGAGAGGGACAGCTCAGGCCAAGGACACGACATGTGCTTGTTCAGTGTTCCTGATTACACCTGCACACGGGGGTCTGGTTAAATCAACAGCCTAGGGAGGGTCCTTCTAGCTCTACTCTCTGACATGCATTTTAAGAACAGCAGCTCTTGTTGCCAAGTGTCCTGAGACATTGTGAGGAGACATTGGTTTGGATATGAGTTAGGTATAAATCATGTTCTCCTGGGACAGGAAATTCCCATCCCCAAACTGGTATCAGACCATGTGTTTGAGGGGGAAAGGTAAGGAGCCAGGGTTCTGTGTGGATCAGTGCCACTTAGTGATGGTCACTCACAGTGACACCGGTGAGGTGAGGAGACATGAGACATAGGGGTAAGGTTTCCCTTGATTGCAAAGGGATGGAGGTTTTTTAGAGGCTTCTGAAGCCACGGAGAATTCAGAGGAGGGGCTTGCGTGTGCGTGTGCCTGTGCGTGTGTGTGTGTGTGTGTGTGTGTGTGTGTGTGTGTGTTAATAGGAGTGAAAAGATCAGAAAACCTCTGTAATTTCCAGAGGAGAATTTGGTCATGGACATTTTGGTTCCCGCCACAAAGAATTTGTGTGGGAGTGCCACACGGAACACAGCATCATGTGCTTCATTCAACTCACAGGGTCCTTCCTTGTAGTGCTTTTCGATGGCCAGATCTTTGCATCTGAACTCCCTTTCCAATAGGTAGACAAAAGTTCTACAAGTAAACTGGTTTGCAGAATCCAGGTGAAACCCTTCTCATCCTAGATATTTGCGGTTGTTTGTAACTTTCCTCACATTCTTACAGAAGCCCCAGAAGGCTTTCTCTTTAGCTCTGAGGATCCCAAAACAAAAGGATGGGTCCGTTGTGTTGAGTGTTCATCTTTAGAAATCCTAGCCTTCCATATGAGAGTCACAGAATATCCACGAGTAAGAGAATACATGAGAAAACCCCAAATGCAAACCCTGTAGAAAATAAAGATATAAAAGCAAAGTCACAGAGACAAATTGGTATTTAAAAAACCCCTGAAAACAACTTAATTGTCCAGTTGAATATAATGATTATTAAAAAATAACAACCCGTCGTTTGAAACTTCCTAGACGAATTAAATACTGTTTTTCTTCATCTTTTTCAAGTGGGTTGGTGGATGCAGACAGAATCATAGAGAGGAGACTGAGAGGGGTGGGCAGGTATGGGTGTGAGCTCCTCAGTCCTTGTTTGCTGCCCAGAGGGAGACGATGGAGGGGGCATTGAGTGGTCTGACACCCCTTCCCCCAGGGAGGCTGCCCCTTGCCCTCTTGTAGCCTTTTATCTCCAGTGGTACTTGCGTCCTCTTTGATGGCTCCTGTCCGGATTTGTTTCTCAGTGGGTCGCGCGGCTTGCCTTTGGGTTGGATGTTGTTTAGACTGGAACAAGCTCGCTTGCTTTCTCGATCTGGAAATGTAAAGCTCATTGTCTCAAGTGTGGCACCTGCTGGCCTCCCCTAGGTCTTCTCGGCAGGGAGCCCGTGTGCCTTGTTTCCCCTGCCTTGTTGCCCTGCTGGGCAGTGGGTGGGAGGAACAAGAGAGAGTGAAGCCTCCCTTTGTGTGGTTCAGGATGGGCTTCTGTCCTAGGGGGTCACCAGAGGTGCTCCAGTTGAGGTGTGGTCCCCTTCCAACGGGGGCCAGGCACACTGGGGTGTGGGAGCCTGGGAACCGGAAACAGTGTCAAAGCTAATCTTGGGATGAAAACTGTAAGCACTTTTAATTAAAATCAGTTCTTCCTGACTCTGAAAACCTTTAATTATTTTTCAGAAAGCTTAAAAAAAATTATGTCTGTGGTACAACAGCTTATCTTCTCGAGTCTGAGTTCAGTGTTGTGAGGATTTGGTTCCTGCTGTAGGGGAAGGAATGGGAGCCTGATGCTGCCGACTTCTTAAGCTAGATGAGTAGTTCAAGGAGCAGTGGGCGCCTCAGATCCAGGGTGGAGCAGAGGCAAATCTAATTCTACCCTATGGCTTTTCAAGAGCCCCTGCTGAGGCAGGAGGTATCTATGCCCTGAGATGCTTCATCTTATCATGTGGAGTCAGACCAACTGTACTAAATCTTGGACCTACCACTTTCTAGCTGTGTGAATGGGGCCAGTTACTTAATGTCTCTGAGGCTTTATATAAAATGGGGACAATACTGCCTACTTCTGAGGTTGGTAAGAATAGTGAAATGATGTATGCAAGTTATTTAGCGTGCATGGTGTCTGGCGCCTAGTAGGTGCTCAACACCTGGTTGCTATCTTACAGATGTTGTTGTTTAGAGGAAATAGAGAGCTAACCTAGAAGGTAGCTGGGTATTCCTTCCATCACATCTAATTTCTGCAGGGTCATCTCCACACGTGAAACTGGTAAGGAGAGATGACGAACTGTTCCTGGAAACACCAGGTCACATCCTGGTCTACTGGAAATATTTTCTTTGCTTACTTTCTAAAAACCAGAGTGTAGGGATCAATAGTTTGAGTTTGGGACTTATTCCATTATGAAACGTCATGATAAGCTACCCAACTGAAAATGCTCAAGCTTAGTTCTGATTCAGTCTAATTCTCATCTCACTATAAGTTACAAAGTACTTGATTTGGGTGTTTCTTGGGGAGGTGGGGTAGGGAATGGAAGGAAAGGAAATGTATTTTCCTTCCTAAGTGGAATCCTTCGTCTTCTCTCCTCCTTTTAAAAAGTATGGCCTCAGGAATCCAATATTTGTATTGGAAAAATGTTTTCAACTTGGAACTTATAGGCCAATAATGAAAGTGCCATAAAATAAAGGGTATATGCAAATGTGGGAAAAATTGAGCTTGTCACACACAGAGAATCGGATGTCCTAGGGGGATTGGGAATCCTTGGGTGTGAAATAAACAGTGATGCCCTTAATCCCGGAGTACTGAGATAATAGAAAAAGTCTTCTTTCAAACTCATTAACTTTACACAAAGTTCCTAATCTAAATCAGATTTCATGTGGGTAGAAGAAAGGATGTAGCATCTTAGTATGGTTGTGGCTTAAAATGACCTTATTAGTAAAATTGGAGGAATTAACTGCTTTATGAGGTCTTTCCTGTCTCTAACTTCAGTGTTTTTTAAAAAATTAACAAATAACCACGAAGCTGGCTTTTAAAAAAGGTTGTAGGAAAAAAGAGATAACAATGTGTGGAATAGAAATAAAGGGAAAAAAGTGCTGAAAGCAGGCCAGGAAAATAATGTACTCAAATATTCCATTGACTTGATGATTATTGTAAATATTATATCTCCATAAAAGTCATTGCATAGAGGCCTGTGTCCTTTGGCAGCTGTTTTCTTAAGTCAAAATTTAGACAGTGACAAATGAAAAAAGGAAAGACAAAACATTTTGTGGTTTCAAATTATAAGGAAACAACAAATACATATGACTCCAACCAACAGCTGGTTAGAAATCTGATTACTTGTTGTCTTGAGTTAACTGGCTTCTTTGTGAAAAGCTAAAGTGAATTGCTAGTTAGATCATGTGACATAATAGCATCAATTGCGGAAGATGGCATTCGGTGCACCGTAAAATGCTAAATGGAAGGGGATTTTAAAAAAAAGGTGTTGTGGAAAATTTGAAACATACACAAAAGTAGAGGCTAGTGTAATGAACCCAAACTCACTCCCAATAATGATCAACTCACATTCAATCTGCTTCGTCTCTGTACGTCTACTTTTCTCCCAGTCCCCAGATTTTTCTGAAGCAAATCTCAGATATCAGATCAAGGAAGATTTTTTCCAGTATTACTAATGTAAGTCAGAGTAATTTAAGTTATTTTAATGAAAATATTGCTTTGTGCTGGAAGTGATGCCTTTAAAAGTTCTTTCAATGCTTAGTACTGAAAGTGACGAAGCCTGAAAACAGAGGTGCTCATTGGAGGAAGGAAGAAATGTCAGGGTCTGCTGCTCTTCTGTCTTTCTGGGCTTCTTTGTCTGTCTGTCCTTCTCTCTCTCTAAGTTGTTACCTCCAAAGCCAAACATACCTGTACCAATTTTATTTAACTTCATCACATTTATTTAACTCCATGTATTACCCTGTGTCATCTAATCCCTAAATAGATGAAAAGCTACACTTACATTTCATTTTTGCTCTTAAACTGCCTTCCCAAATATTTTCTGTGTTTGGCTACATCAAGATCATTGCTAACTTTTAATAAGGGTATTTCCTATCAACTAAAGAACTGATTGTATTAAATTATTTGAAATTTATCAATAAGGGCAAACAATTTTATTCTATGAAGAGCAAGGAATTCTGCTTGTGAGAGGACCAAGTCCAGCTGAATCTATATCTACACAGTGAAGCTTTCTTCTCCCCTTCTCCTTCTTTTGTTTTTTCAGATGAAGATATCCCTAATTTTCACTTTCTAGCCCCCCACAAGTGGCAGAATTTTTTCCCTCTTGTGCAGTTAACTGTTGCATCTTCTGAAGGTAGAAGAGGAGGAACAAATTGAAAAATCGAAGTGTTAAAATTCCCCCTGTCCTGGGCTTCCCTGGTGGCGCAGTGGTTGAGAGTCCGCCTGCCGATGCAGGCGACGTGGGTTCGTGCCCCGGTCCGGGAAGATCCCACGTGCCACGGATCGGCTGGGCCCGTGAGCCATGGCCGCTGAGCCTGCGCGTCCGGAGCCTGTGCTCCGCAACGGGAGAGGCCACAGCATTGAGAGGCCCGCAAAAATTCCCCCTGTCCTATTTTTAGAGACTTAATTTAAAAATAAATTCTGATGACATAAAAAGAAATGAAAATTCCCTTTATCTTCCTTCAATGTTCTTTACCTTATGGGTAACTGTGACTTTTTAAGAAAAACATTTTCTTTATTTTCCCCAAATGTGGAGAGAATCATTACAAACTCTTTGTATGTGTGTGTGTGTCTGCAAATAGCAATAATTCTAGCAGGACTCCTATGTCTTTAAGAAAGCCAAAAATTACCGCCAGTTCTATTAATGTGTCACATCTTTCAGTTGAGTATGATATGACTTGCATTTTTAACTTTACTGATTAAAACTAGTAAATCAGTAAATCTCCTTTCCCTTCAAACCATGCTGAAATTGAATGAACTCCTTTTTTAGTTTTTAAACATTCTTCGTTGTGAGTTCAGTTGAAGGTCACAGTGAACCTCTCATTCCCTTTATGTTGTGTGGCAGTCTGTCATCTTCTAGGGGTTTTTGATGTGGTCCATCTTTGAGAGCCACAGGAATTCCACCCAGAGTTCAATTATCTACTAGGAAATAAAGAGCCTGCTGGTGCTCATTTGCCTTGTTTTGCATGGATTGTAAAAGAAGGAAATCTTTAATGAGGTAAATCATGAGCTTGTAGCTTTGAGTGTGTTAAAGTCACATTAAAGTTTTATAATTTTGGAAGTCAGTTTTGGTGTGGATGAGGTGGAGAATAGACTGGAAATGAATCTACCTCTCATCTCTCCATCTGTCTGTCCATCCATCCAACCATTCACTCACCCAGTCCTATAAGTTCATTATTTAAATGTTCAGACATTTTTTATGAGTTTTCCTTTTTCTGGTGAATTATATAGGAATAAAATCTAACAAAATCTCTAAAACATTCGAAATCAAGACTGATAATTACTTTTGAATAGCGAGCCTGATTCTTTCCCTACGTGAAGATAACCTAGCTTTATTACTTTGCTTAGGAAAAGGGAAAGAATTCAGTGAAATTAGAGGCAACTTTTAATCTTATTCTATAAAATCTAAACCAAGCTGCAAGTTAGGTGAGGTTTAAATGAAATGTGGAGAATGCTTTTGTGTGTGTGTGTGTGTGTGTGTGTGTGTGTGTGTGTGGTATATATAAATACAAAGTAATTGAAAAACATAAAACTTAATTTGAACCATAACCTGTTTTGAATCCAGTTAATAGTTTATAGGAAAGATCAATTGGATTGAACCAAATCAACTGGGAATCAAATCTTTTTTTTTTTCCCTATGGAATTCGGCTTTTCCCTCCCCACCTTTCCCTCTAATAAAGCTTGGAAGCCCTTTCTAGGTTGCTGTTTTTGCCCGTATCAGAACGAATGCCCCTTTTTGGCATCTAGGGGTGTGTAGCTGGATTGTGTCTTGATATAAAGAATCTAGAGCAATTCTTTCTGGCTCAAACACTCTAGAAAAAGCTTGTGCCCCTTTCATGATAGAGAAAAGGCTTTTCTCTGTGCCTCACTGAGAGTATAACTATGACAATAGCCAAGCAGTTCTCCAAGAGTGCCAGATTTGGAATCGGTGGCCAGAGGAAGAGAAAGAAAAAAATTCTCTTAAGTATCTTAAGTACTCAAAGCCCTGCGTTGGAAAGGGAAGGTTCCATCAATCAGATCAACTGGTGTTCTTGAGAATACTCTATTCACAGAAGGAAAATACATCTTCTTATGGTATCGCATATAAAAATATTACAGAAGCTGGCATGATGGTGCTTTACTCTTTAAGTGAAGCTATTAACATATGGACAGATTTTAGCTTCTTAGATAATCTATCAATATATAAACTGCTTAAATATATGAATAGTTCACAGTTAATGGAATGAATTTAGGCTGTTAGAAAGCCAGTTGGAGCAATTCAAAGCCCCCAAGTTCACTTTCTTACTTCTGACTTCCACTTGGGATCTATACTTTTTTAGGACAGGAATCACATCTATTTATACATATCTATACACACCTTGTGGGGATGGGCTTAGTGTGTTGTCAACAAAACCCTATGTTACAAGCTACACAAGTGCAATGAGATAGTCTAAAAGGTCTTTCAAAATGGGTAAGACTTAAATCTTTCCTTCAGTTTAGAACTAATGTACAGGGCTGTTAGATTTGAGTGCTATGTTAAAGAAAAATTACATTTTTTTCTTTGTGGGCATAGAAGTAAGTTAGAAAATTACTCTGTATGAGCAGAAAGAAGCTTGCTGAGTTGAAAGTGACAAGGGTACCCCTTGTAGCAAACAGTGCAATGCCCTGCAGTGAATGTATCAAAGGCTTTATGACTAACAATTAGAAACCTTACTATTACTTTTTGGTCTGTCAACTTTAATGTGCCATCCCAACCTACATCTTTAACTAAAATTTCTGTCCTGCTGTAGTTGTGAGAGATCAGATGATACCAAAAGAAGAATGGAGTTACTTTGTCTAGGGTGTTGGTGTGTAGTACATTAGCCACTAGCTACATGTGTTCATTTAAATTTAAATTAATTAAAATTCAAAATTTGGTTTTCAGTCCCACTACCCTCATAAGAAATGTTCAATAGCCCATGTAGCTTGTAGCTACCCCATTTGACAGTGCTGGTGTAGGGGTTTAAAATGTTTTTTCAAGTCTTTATAGGCTCCTGCCTGCCCTGTTTTGTTACTTTGCTTAGGAAGAGGGGAAGAACTAAATGATGTAGAGGCTATTTCTTGTGGTGATGACATTTGTTGTGATGGGTCACAACCCTTGAATGGGTAGCTTCTTTTACTCTGAGAACTGTTCGTGTGTGTATGGAGATTTTGTGACTGTGAGGCAGCACAATACAAACTCAGACTCTTAGCCGATACTCCACCAAGGTCTGGCAGTATTCACCACAGCAAGAGAATTTTCATAGCTTCTTCTGGCCTTTGTACTATGAATTGACCAAACTGAAAGAATAGAGTGGAAATTGGAGTGGGCACTGTCTTGTTTCTCATTTTTGAATAGCTCAGGTCATCCAGTCATTCAACTGGTATACATTGAGCACATACTCCGTGCTTTGTACTGAGCTGAACTCTGACTTTACAAACGTAAGGCATGGGCCCTGCCTTCAAGGAACTCAGAACTTGGAATGGGAAGAGATAATTATAATGCAATTAGGTAAGTGTAAGAGTAGAATTGTAATTATAGGCATATAAAGTCAAGATATATAAATAAATACAAATACATATTTTTTGGACTTAAATGATTTATTTCTAGGTTTTTACATCAGAGTTCTTTTGTCTCTGCCACCTGTTGAAAAAATTAGGACCTAGCAGTTTGGTACAAGCTTTTATCAGCTTATTCCATAGATTCAAACCTTTAGGCTCAGATTGCCCCTGCGGGAGCAGAGCTGAGTGTATTGAGTTTTTGGAGTTGGTTGGAAGCCAGAGGGGTGTGTATGTGGAGTGAAGGGGAGCCTGCCCGCTGCTGGTGTGTGATGGGGATGCCCAGTCACAGCCCTCTCCATGTCTCCCCAGCTCTCTGTGCCATTGTCGCCACCATCTGGTTTCCTGTGTGCGCCCACCGTGAGACCACCATCGTGAGCTTTGGCTACTCCCTGTACGCGGGCTGGATCGGTGCTGTGCTGTGCCTTGTGGGTGGCTGTGTCATCATCTGCTGCGCCGGAGATGCCCAGTCGTTTGGTGAAAACCGTTTCTACTACTCTTCGGGCTCCAGTTCCCCTACTCATGCCAAGAGCGCCCATGTATAAGAGAGCTACCAGCCTGCCCATGGAGGTGCTATAGATGCTGGGCCCATGGCCCTAGGTTTGCTTGCCACAGTGAGGGGGTGGGAAGCCCACTCCTCTGCCAGGCTCCAAAGCCAATGGTCTAGAAAAGCATCCTGTCTGGCATTTTGTAGTCTTAACACCCCCTCTCCTTTTGTTGCCTTAAGAGAAATCTTTAGCTCAGATGCCACACATTTTTTCCATGGTTTTGCCCACTATTAGCTCTTTTCTGGGCATTCCTTTGTCATATATATATATATATATATATATATATATATATATATATATATACACACACACATATATATATGGGGAAAAAATTTCCCTCTCTCTTTAACTTTTAAATATCTTGCAAACATTGCTGAGTTGGGTGTGGGGAGAGAAATAAAAGACACTTTCAAACTGTTACAGATGACAATGGGAGCCTCATAAACATGCCTCACTGTTCGCTCCCTCCTCTCTCAGCTCCAAGGTCACTTATAACCAATAGAAAAAATAGAATTGGGAACATGGGGTGGGGAAGGGAGGGGAATTGTGGAACTTTCCCTCCATGGGAAAGTTTCCCTTTTGTAAGTTGAGGGCAAGGGGTGGAGATATTTTTTAGTTTGTGATTTTACATTTATCTGTACATACTTTTTCAAGATTGCTCATTTTTATAACCATGGTTTTCCTGAAATTCTCAATTCATCAGTATGAAGGAAATGAACCAGATAGACTTTAATGATACCATAAATAACAGTACAAGTGAGTATAACTCGAACTGACATTCCACAAAACGTTCTTGATTTCCAGGTTTGTATGATGTAGTTTTGAATCCTACACCTGCATGTGCTTCCATTTAACACATTTTAGAAGGTTTTCCCAATTTCTCTCTATTTTCATTCTGTTAGCTGCCTTGAAGCAATATTGTTTAACGTAAATTGTACTGTTGAATTTGACTTTATGGGTGCAAACACTGATGGTGTATCAGTATCTGGACCCCAAACTCTCCAAACATTGATGGTGCATCTTATTCTTTAAATGAAATCTGTGCAATAAAATAACGGACTGTCTGCAAAACTGGCCTTTAATATTCTGTTGTATCCAGAGGTATTCATCCATCAATTGAAAAATTTTTCATTAATCTCTGCTAGCAATTTATAGGGAACCTGGTCAGGGATTCAAGAACCAGTCATTCTGCACTGCCATGAATAATTGAAAAGTTATATTTTATTCACTGTATTGTGGTGGTAATGTGTGGTAGTAAAAATGTGACCTAGATGCTATCTAGGTCTCTTAAGTGGGGATGTTATGGCTTCTTTAAGTCATATATAAATAGGCAGCCATCAGATATCAAGTGCCAAGTATCACACAGTTAAACTCCTTTATCTACGTTGAGTGCTTAGTAAAGGAATTGGCTAGGTATAAAGGGAACTATAAAACAATCCCATTTTATTGGATCTTTAGGTCATAATATCTAAATGTATTTCGTTCAAACATATGAATGTATATATTTGGTAATTTTGAACAAAGACAAATACATTGAATTGACTTATGTGTGTTTTCTATACCAGAAACTCTGTCAAGTTACAAGTCTGCTCTAAAAAAACAGATTACAGTCTATTTTGGCCGTATTTTTCCAAAAATACTAATTTCATTAGCTGACAGTATAATGATTGGCAAACATTTCCTCTTTGGAAATATCCACTTGGGCTAGTCATTTTTGTAGAGATCTGTGTACATCAGGAGATTATAACCTGGTGGAAACTATTTCTAAATTACCTATGGAGAAAAGATAATCTTCTTGTTGACCAAAATATTTGCTTAGTTATGATACAGTCTTTGTTTGTTTTTTTTTGCGGTACGCGGGCCTCTCACTGTTGTGGCCTCTCCCGTTGCAGAGCACAGGCTCTGGACGCGCAGGCTCAGCAGCCATGGCTCACGGGCCCAGCTGCTCCGCAGCATGTGGGATCTTCCCGGACTAGGGCACGAAGCCGTGTCCCCTGCATCGGCAGGCGGACTCTCAACCACTGCGCCACCAGGGAAGCCCTATGATACAGTCTTGTAAGGACACAAGTGGTGTGATTATATTGGAGGATGCTCCCTACCTCATGAAAACTTGCCAGGGAGTAATGGTTGGGAGCATGGATAGAGCAGGAGGCTCTCAGGGGGCGTGGACAAGGAAGGCCCTAGGTCCCCACAACCGTCCCCCTCGTCACAACCACCGGCTTGAATCAGAAGTGTCCTCTTATGGATGCATGCGCTTACTGACCCACCCCCCTCCCTGAGACTGCTGCTTGCTTTCTCTCGTGAGGGGG